CCCTGGGATCCCATAAAAAGTCCCCCTTGCCCTAGGAAAGCGCGCAAGTCCTCCAAGAGACTTCTCCCCAGGTACCTGGTCTAAATAAACCCTCTTGCTTTTGCATCTGATCTGTGGTTTCGGTGTGTTCCTTGGGTTTGGGGTCTCTCCCAGAGAAAGATCTCCCCTGGGGGTCTTTCACCTTCCCTTCCAGAGCTGTTGTCTCACTGCAGCTCCAGCTATCAGAGCTGTCTTAGCAGCTCCAGGCCTGACTCTCCTGAGCAGTCAGAATACATTCCCTTCCAGGGCTGAGCTGTCCTAGCAGCTCCAGACCCGACTCTCCTGAGCTGTCAGAATACCTTCCCTTCGAGAGCTGTTGTCTCACTGCAGCTCCAGCTATCAGAGCTGTCTTAGCAGCTCAAGGTATCCAGAATACCTTGCCCACTAGGGTTGAGCTGTCTTATCACAGCTCCAGTTGTCAGAGCTGCTCTTCCAGCTTGAGGTATCCCGGATAATCCCAGGGCTGAGCTGTCTCATTTCAGCTCCAGCCTTCAGAGCTGTCCTAGCAGCTCAAGGTGTTGCCTGACTCTCCAAGTAGTCAGGAAACCATTCCCCAAGAGTTGCAAAAATTCACCTCAAAGAATTGCAACAAACTCACATTTTTGTGCCAAAACCCAGGACCAAACCCCCAGAGTTGCAACACAATTACTTACAGTTAACAACTCCAGCTTTCCACTGGCTTCCACCGACATCCTGGCATATGCTTCTCCCCCCCCACACACACACACACAAATTAATAAGTATAAAAACAAAGATCACAAAAGGTGCCTGGTATAATGGCACACACCTGTAATCCCAATACTCAGGAGGCAGAGTCAGGTGGATCTTTGAGTTTGAGGCCAGCCTAGTGTACATAGACTTCCAGGGCAGCCAGGGCTAATTGCAAAAAGTTGACAAGATATCCTATGACTACATAAAAAACCTTTTTCTTTTCTTTTTCTTTTTTTTTTCTTTGAGAACATCTTCTTACATATCCTGGCTGGCTTAGAACTTGATATGTAGACCAGGCATGCAAACGCCAGAGGCTTTCCTATGTCATAACAGCAAAAATTCTGTAAAAGAAATCAGGAAAACAATCACATTCACAAAAGACACATGAGGGTGTAGAGAGATGGGTAACAGCATTTGTTACTCTTGCAATGGACACAAGTTCTCAAACTCAGAGATCCACCTGCCTCTGCCAGATGGCTAACAACTGTCTTTAACTCCAGCTCAAGGCTGTCTGACCCCTCTGACCTCTATAAAAACCTTCACTTCTGTACATAAGCCCACACTGAGACATGTTAAAAAATTATCATCTTCAACTACAAAACCCTGCTGAAATAAACCTACACAAGGAAGTAAAGCTGAAAAATTTAAAGGTTGAAGCAAAGTGTTAAAGTCAATACTACATGCTGGAAGACCTCTCATGCTTATGAGTTGACAGAATTAGTGTTGTGAAAATGTGTCTATAAGAAATCTACAAATTCCATGTATCTGTATCAAAATTCTAATCACATTCTTCACAGTAATAGAGAAAAAAATCTGAAAGTTATATGAAATCAAGGCCACAGAAAATTAAAAAAACTTTCAGGAAAAAGCAGCATACTGGAACATGCAAAGCAATGGAACAGAACAGAGGACTTGGATGTAAATCCACATGGCTACAGCAACCTGATTTCGACAGATACCACAAATATATAATAGAGAAAAGATTCCTATTCCTATTCTACAAACTGGTACTTAAATAACTGCACATCTACACTTAGAAGCTAGAAACTCTTATCTTGCTTTCTAAATTAATCTACAACCCAAAACTCCAAAACTCTTACAAGAAACAGAAGGAAACACTTCAAGGTAGGCACAGAAAATACACTCTTTAAAAGACTCAGAGCAGAGCCATCAAATATTCTAGACTGGCCTGGGTGCTGGAGGGGCCTAGGGAGAGTCCAGTCTGTCTCCACTTCCTTTTGGTGTGGATGACTGAATTTGCATTTGGTCCACTAATTCAGCTCCAGGTGAGCTTGACAAATCTTTTCCAACCTGGAAAATGTGGAAAGTAACCTATTTGTTTTTTGTTAAATCTTGTGTGCATACACACAAACACACACCCCAACTACTCAGGAAATAAAGGCAAGTATTAAAATACAGAATTTCATTAAAAAGTTGCAGTATAAGAAAAGAAACAATTTAGTGAAAAGCTTACAGAGTAGAAGAAAATCTTTGTTGATACAGGATCCATCTATATGTATAGCCAACAGTGGACTAATATGTATGCAAGCAATTAAATTCATAAGCAAACAACTAATTACTGGGCTGGAGAAACAGCTCAAGGGTTAGGAGCACTTTTGGCTCTTGCAGAGGACTCAGGTTCAATTCTCAGCACACATGGTAACTCATACCACCTGCGACTCAAGTTCCAGGGAATCTCATGACCTCTTCTGGCTTCTGTGGGCTCGCTCCTCCATACATGTGGTGGCCATGAACTCTCTTTCACATGCACACAAGGAAATAAAATGAACAACAAATAAGGAAATGAAATGAACAACAAATAAATACCAAGAATTCAAAGAACACCTACAACAAAAGGGCTGATAAAATAAATAGCATTCTAAGCAGGGCTCCAACTAATCAGCAATGTATGAAAGTTACTTCCTCCACATACCAACTCTCAAAAACTAAAATTACTTTCTAATGTGGAATTCAACATTTATATACATACTGTTCTATGTAATTCTTTCACCCAGTTTATTATATATAAAAAGAATCTCCCAAAAGCGTAGAAAATTTAGAGAGACCAACAGAAAGGAAATGATGAGGCAATGTACCCAACTACTTTTTAAAAATGCATTATCCGAAATGAAAAAAAGTTATCTGATAAAACAAATGAAGTATAAGTTTGCTCTGAGTAAATCATATTTACAAATTTTAATTTCATTAACAACCTTTATTTTGATCTTTGCTTTCTCTTCTTGTTCTGGCAGTGGTGAGGATCAAAGCCAAAGTAAAAAGGTTGGACAAATGTTCTAAAACTGAATTCTAACCCTAGCTCTACTTCCTTCTCATAACAATTTGTTCAATATTTGCATATCACTTCAGCCTTTTCAAATTATCAACACCAGGCATTGCAACAATAAGTTTTTCCATAACAGTGTAGAGACCCAAGGTACCTCCATATTGCATGCTTAATTCTGAAAGTTCCTAATCTACCATGCAGACATGTGAACTATATTTAAAAAGTACAGTCTAATACATATTTTTGGAGAATCACAAACTTGTTTGAAGTGATAGTGCTGTCTGTGTCCATTACTAGGCATCTACTGGCAAAACTCATATACACATACTTCTAGTTTTATAAACATAAAGGAGATTAGGAGATTTTAAGACACCTGACTGAATGGACTTATGTATTTGCATTGACATAAGAAAGATAATGCACTTATGACATGAGCTTTTTTTTTAAAAAAATTAATAATAACATGACAAGGGGAAAGCAAAAGAGCAAAGATCAATGGCATACACTCTTAAAGCCTAATCCCATGCTGGTAGCAAATATGCTGAACTATATTTTCTGGTATCATGATTAGGGGCAGCAGCAGTGATGTACTGTGAGGATCATGTATACAAATACACAAAATTAGCAAGCACTCCATAGCCCATTACACTCAAATAAAATAAACATGGTTTGATGATTTTAACGAATTTTACACTAAGTAACTATGGCAATGTAACAGTGTAGGCTAAGAGTTAATGTTCACCAGTTTGGATGTATTAAATATAAATCTTCATTTTTTTCCCACTTGTCATTATTTAAAAGGATACAATCTATGGACTCAAAGAAGCACTGGTATTAGTGGAAAACAGAGTTCAATATATTGTAATGAAATACTTAGTAGATAACAAGTAAAACGGGGCAAAGCAATGCCTAGAAAAGTGACGCTTGCAAAAGTAGGAAATTCTCCTCAGTAACTAGGATATATTAATAGTAACATTCTGGAAATCTGCCTGAAAATTCAAAGATAATCTGAATCATGCCACCCTTTAAAGATAAGATTAACTTGTACTTATGAATTACTACTTCCTTTCACTTTATCACAACCTTCCAGGTGAGACCATTATTACAATCACAAAAGATAGAACTATATTCAACCACAAAGCACCTTTAACAAATAGAAACGCCAAACTACATTAAAGTGTATTCAGTCCATTTAAAACAAATATCAAGTAGGTTAGAAATTGCATCTAATGAGGAATAACACTGTCATTAATTTTAATTGAAAAGATTCACTAGAATTCATTATATTTTATTGAGATAAATGGTATGATTTTGCTCATTTTTGGCCAGAGAACAATTTACAGCAGCCTAGTACACTTCTTGTTTTGACGAACAAAGAAAAACTTACAATAAAAGTTGAACCATGTAAGCATAAAATAAATTTTACATGTTAAAAACCAGTTTCAAACTGATGAATACGAAAATGGATTTTAACTTATGAAGATACACAATTTTAAACTGGGTGTGGCAAATCTTCGTGAATTCAAGGCCAGCCTGGTCTACAAAGTGAGTTCCAAGACAGACAGGGCTGTTAAACAGAGAAACCCTGTCTCAAAAAGCCAAAAACAAAGCAAAACAAACAAAAAACATATACAATTTTAAACTATGTTGAATATGAAGATGCCTTCTGAGTAAATGGGAAAGATAATATTCTTTAATCTATTTATTGGAAAAATGTACAAAAGTCAGCCAGGCAGTGGTGTCACACACAACTTTAATCCTAGCACTTGGGAGGCAGAGGCAGGCAGATCTCTGTGAGTTTGAGGACAGCCTGGTTTCCATCTTGAGTTCCTGGAAAGACAGAGCTATGTAGAGAGACAATGTGTCAATAAACAAAAGAAAACAATGACAGCTCAAAAATTACACTTGGGGCCAGTGATGAAACTCAAATGAGTAAAAGTGCTTGCTGAGGAAGCATGGCAGGGAAGAAAATCGTGAATGTTGTCCACTGAGCATCACACCCACGCTATGGCAAACATACAAATACACACACACATAAATAAATAAATTCAACATAAAAAACTTTTTGGAAGAAAATAAACTACAAAATATAAAATCTATGTAAGAATGTTACACTGAGAAAAATCTAAGTATGCACCTAAATGTAAGGAAACTGCCAAGCAATTAATAATAATAGTATAAAAAAGAACATGCCATAAAATGACAGCCAGAAAACACTAACAACAGCTATATGTTTTCAACTTCACATGAAACACTGTTACTCAAAATGTACCTAAAAATTAAGCATACTGGATGATTAAAAATGCATCTGAATTTAACAAATCAAAGGAGACTATTATTACTTGATTTAAAAACAGCCATTAAATTGAAATTCAATTGATTTACCAAACGGACTTTCATCACCAAAATTCAAGTAGTTTCTTTATACAGTTGCTATTGATATTCCTTGCAAAGTGTCCTGGAAGTTTTCAACTGTAGGCTAAAGTTCTTGTCCTACCTCAGCTTTGCAGCCATCAAGGAAAGCAGGCAGGTGAAATAATGTCAGTCATTTTACTTGCCAAACCATACTTCAAAAGTTTTTTTTTTAAAGTCAAGAGGTCTTGTATGTGCATAAGAATGGAACAAAAATTAAAATATTTATTAAAATTTTTAGTGTATTTCAGTAATATTCTACAAAAAAAAATGTTCCAGCTCTTCACATTTCTTGCTTATACAATAATCAGCTATATCAGAAAATGTAATAACTCTTATTTGAAACATAAAATTTTCTTTTATATTTTTACAATGACAAATTTTATTTGGTTAGAAATGGTTCTTCTTAAATCTCCCAAACAGTGCTCAAACCCACAATGTAGACTAAGGTTTATTCAATGTTGCAATTCTCTAAAACTCCACTGCCCTAGTATGGGGATAAAAGGCATGCACCAAGCCTAGTACAACAACAGGTTTTATCCTATGTACACTTGCATATGTAAGTAAAAATTACACAACTGCTGATCTCATATTCTCTTGGTTTCTCTCCATACTTCTTTCATTCCTTGCAATAACAGCAAGCTGGCTACAAAGACTCTCACATGATTTACATCAGTATAAGTTCTATCCACTGGATTTCTTCTCATTGTGAGTTCTTTCATGTTGGTGAAGATATGTAGAACATGTGAATGCTTTCCCACATTGCTTACATACATATGGTTTCTCTCCAGTATGGTTTCTTTCATGTATTTGAAGGGATTTTGAAAAAGTGAATGCATGCCCACATTGCACACATACATATGGTTTCTCTCCAGTGTGGATTCTTTCATGATTGTAACAAGCCCTATGTTGGATGAAGGCTTTCCCACATTGCTTACATGAATAAGGTTTCTCTCCAGTATGAATTCTTTCATGTTTGTGAAGGTATGTGGAACATGTAAATGCTTTCCCACACTGCTTACAAACATAAGGTTTCTCTCCAGTGTGAATTCTTTCATGAATGTAACAGGCACTGGAATAGGTGAAAGCTTTCCCACAATGTTTACATGAGTAAGGCTTCTCTCCAGTGTGAATTCTTTCATGGATCAGAAGCTGAGAGGAACGAATGAAGGCTTTTCCACACTGTTTACAAACATAGTGTTTCTCTCCAGTGTGAGTTCGTTCATGATTGTTACGGGTTGTAGGATCACTGAATGCTTTTCCACAATGCTTACATAAATAAGGTTTCTCTCCAGTGTGAATTCTTTCATGTTTACGAAGGTATGAAGAACGTCCAAATACTTTCCCACACTGCTTACATGCATAAAGTTTTTCTCGGCTGTGACTTCTTTCATGTTGAAGAAGGTGGTAAGAATGAATACATGCTTTCCCACATTGCTTACATACATAAGGTCTGTCTCCAGTGTGAGTTCGTTCATGATTATAGCAGGCCCTTGGATGGATGAAAGCTTTTCCACAATACTTACATGCAAAAGTCTTCTCTCTAGTATGAATTTTATGATGTTTGATAAGATGACTGGAATTAATGAAGGTTTCTCCACACTGCTTACATACAAATGGTTTTTCTCCAGTTTGGAGTTTTTCATATGACTGAACATAACTACATGTCATGAGAGCTGTTTCAAACTGCTTATATTCACGGAGACTATGACTTGTCTCATAATCTTGATCAGAAGTGAGACTCCTACAGTGCTCATTAGATAGTTTATTTTCATAGGGTTTCTGTCTGGAAGGATTCTCATAGGTAAGAAAGGACTCAGAATGTGTAAAATCTTTCCAACATTTCTTATGTTTAAAAAGCTTTTCCACATGTTCCTGATATGCATATGGTTTCTCTACAGTTGGACCTCTGAGGTGCACATCTGACTGTGAAAGACCAATGACATCATTTTTACACACACCGTTTTCACATACTATTATTCCAGGAGGCGTGCACTCATTAACAATATGCTCTTGAATCTGTTGAGGGGCTTCTCCATACTGAATACCACGTTCAAATTCATAGAATCCTTTAACCATATGAGTGCTGAAAAAAATGAAAAAAATATTACTATAGTTTTATGGCTAGCCAAGAAAAGTGTTGGAGGCTAGGTATTGTGGTACACACTTGTTATTGCAGTACTTAGAAGGCAAGGGCAAAGGGACAGCAAGTTCGAAGCCAACATAAGCCACATAGAAAGACCTCATCCTATGGGAAAAAAAAAAGTGTTGACTATTGCCACAAGAATTTATGAACCTAAAAGGACTGAACATTGAGCCACAGGCCCTGAGAATAACAATCTTCTTAGTTTCTCTAATATTGTCTCCTAAAATAATCCACACACAATTACAAAAAGAATGGCGAAAAAACACTGCAGACACACAGTAATTTGTTTAGCCCTTGTCGTGCTTTGTTCTTTAAGTATCTCAAGTTACCAAAGTTGAATATTCCTTCTGAAAAATGGTGTGGGTCAGGCTTTATGAAATTGGGACAGCTGAGTATTTTTAATGCAGCTATTGAAGGTAGGTTACAATATATCACAAACACGCTTTTATTCACATACATCTTATATTCAAAGCCTAAAGGCAACATGATAAAAATATATTAGATAATTTTGTGCACAAAGGAAAGGTTTTGTATAATGAAAGAATTAGAAAAATGTCCCATATAGTTTAAGGTTACATGATATTGTGCAAGATTACATTACAGACTTGGGATCCTTTAATTCTGAAGGCTCAAGTTCAATGAAGTTTTAGATTGAATCAATTTATATTTAGCTGTACTTGGATTATTTACTTGGGTCTCAGATTTCCTATTACTCTCAAGTATTTAATGTAAATTCTTTTTGCTTTGAGTGTAAATTACCTCAGATTTCTCCTAATGTTTTGGTAATCCTCTCCAATATGTTCTTCCTCGGCTTTCCCTAAAAAGTAAACCCAAGGAAAGTTATTATTCAATATTACATTAAAAATCATTTCATTCTAGTCCCCTCCCATCCACCACCATGGTATAATTGTAACAAAGTATACAATATTCACCAACATCTTTCCTTTCAATATTTCAAATTATGCAACTACACAGAAGAGCAAGAAACAGTTATTTCTCTGAATGAACAAGGAAAAGAATCACGCTGTATTTTTTACCTATGGAGATCAGGTTGCTAAAGGTTTCCTTCATTACATCTTTGTAGAGCTCCTTTTGATAGGAATCCAACAAAGCCCATTCTCCTAGGGTGAAGTTCACAGCCACATCCTCAAAGGTTACTGGCTCCTAAAATAATCCACATACATTTATGAGATTAATGTTGAGAAAACACTGGAAATAGAGTGACTTGATTCTTTCATTTCATGCTTTGTTCATCTATTCCTTATACATCATGGCTAGCATTACTTTTTACTATTTACAAATAGTAAACACACATTTACTATTCATGCTAACTCTCACAGTGTCACACAATTCTCATGCCAGCATGGAACTGTATGATAAATGAACACCAGAACAGGACCACCTGTTGTGACGTTTGCCTCAACTGTACACTGCATCTTTAGTAATTTAAAACCCACCAGAGTAGACACCAGCTCTAGGAAGCCTGTATAGTTATGAGAAATGTCTATTTGTCAATAGAAGCTGATTATGAAGCCTGGGGACATCCACTGGAATAGAAACAACCAGCTTAACTATAAAGGGGGAATCGCTGACATGCAATGCTTTATAACAACAAAATAGTATTTTATATACTCCTAGTAACTTTCCAACTATTTACCTATTTCTGACATACTAAGAGATTAAAATCCCAATGAAATTTAGATGAATTCTCTCTTATCAAGACTATGAATGTACCAAGCATGGTGGTGCACACCATTAATTCCAACACAGAGGAGGCAGGGGCAGATGGATCTCTGAATTTGAGGCCAGCCTAGTCTACATAGTAAGTTCCAGGACAACTAGAGCTACATATACAGTGAAACCCTGACTCAAAAAGAGAAAAGAAAAAGACCGTGAATGTCAGCCCTAAACAGAACATTTTAATCAGTTCCTTCATGCCCAAGGCTAAAGGAACATCAGAGAAGAGGTGGAAAGAATGTAAGGGCCAGAGGTGGAGAAGAGGAGTGCTATAAAATGCTGACTTCTGGACACAACATGACTATTGTACTTGTGAACTCATGGCATCTATGGTTATCTATACAAGATCAAGCCAGACAAAAATCCTGGCATAAACAGATTCACTTCATGCCTCAACCCTTACTAAGGAGCTAGTGACAGGTGGGAGCTGCTGGGGGAGAGAGAATCACTCTTTTACAATGTAGTCACTGGTAGTTTCCTATGCACCAGTGGATGGTATCATACCCGTGTACACATATAGGCAGTACTAATTAAGCTTAATGGTTTATAAGGAAGAAAAAAAGACATGAAGTTGGGCAAGAGACATGTTATGAGGATATACAGGAAGTCTGAAGTGGAAATGGGGGACAGATATGACATTTTATTATGCACACATGTAAAATTCTCATAGAATAAAAAATATAAACAATCACATTACTCGTCTGATAGATAACATGAAACATCTACTGTCAAAATGTGTTACACCAAGGCCCAGATATGAAAGCTTGCTGCCAAATTTGACAGTCTAAGTTGCATCACTGACCCATATGATGAACGAAAAGAACCAACTTTTGAAAGTTGTCCCGACCCTTATTCTGTTGTGGTACAAGCACATCACAGCCAGCACCAAGACTAAATACAATGAAAAGCAAATCAAACCAAGGAATAACTTTCTGAAAGAGAAATAGCAAGTCCAGGCTCTTTCTGATTTATTTTCTGGAACACTTAGTGAAAATGTGATGTCAATAACATGCAATCTCTTCCAGAAGATAAAAACAGATGAGACTGAGAGTCAGCTCAGTGGTTAAGAGTACTTGTTGGTCTCGCAGAGGAGTCCCCAGCACTCAGCAGCCAGTTCAAAACCACCTGCAATTTCAGCTCCAAGTGTTCTCACCCACTATTCTGACCTCTGCAGGTATCCTTCCCCCGCTCCCTACACACTGCACTGGTTAGTTTGTGGAGTTTTGTTGTTTTGTTTTTGTCAATTTGATACAAGCTAGAGTCATCTGGGAATAGGAAATCTCAACTGAAAAAATGTCTTCATAATACTGGCCTACAGGCAAATATGTGAGACATTTTCTTGATTTATGTTTGATATGGGAGGGTCCAATCCATGGTAGGCAGTATCACTTCTGGGCAAGTGGTCCTGGGTTGTATAATAAAACAGGCTAAATAAGTCATGAAAAGCAAGCCAGTGAATAGCATTCCCTTATGGTCTCTGCTTCAGTTCCTGCCTTGCTTGAGTTTCTACCTTGGCTTCCCTCAATGATGGATTATCATCAGGACGTATAAGTCAAATAAACTGGTTTTTTCCCAAATTGCTTTTGGTAATAGTGTTTACCACAGCAATAGAAAGCAAACTAGGACACACATATACGCAAAAATAAAAAGTGAAAATAAAGCAATATATATATATATATATATATATATATATATATATATATATACCAACTTTCATCCTATGAGACCAATACCACTAAAGGAATATGAAGTCATAATACCAAATAGGAGAGAAAAATATAGAAATGTCTTTTGAATAGATTTTAAAATCTTTCCCAAATAACAGATTACATATGAGTATGTATATGTCATATGTATGTGTGATTGTTTGTGTGTGTGTGTGTGTGTAGCCACCAAACATACACCAAAGGCCATGAATATACAGACATACAAATAATCAAATGCCAAAACAAAAACAAAAACAAAAACAAAAACAAAAAACCCATGTCACTGAGCACACATTCTATAATTGCACCAGAGACATCTTCAGGTTCTTACTGGTCAGAAACAGCTTTTTACACACCAACCTTCATTTAATACTAAAGAAGACTCACCACGGGCAGTTTCCTATGCTAATATATGAACATTACAAGTTTTATTGAAGAATGACAATAATGACACAGGGAATCATACTAGTATATGTTCTTTTGTGACATGTACTCAGTGTCATAAATTTGATCTTTAAAGGAACCATCAAGTTCTCTTAATTCCCATGAATCTTTTCAAATCTATATGAACTATGATGACATTTAAATGACTAGAAATATGGAAATAATACCTTGATCAGTACTCACAAGGTTGAGGAAGGAAGACTTTTGAGTTCAAGACCTGCCTGGTTGGTACAGCAAAACAGGAAAAGAAAACATAAAGACAGACTTTGAAGCTATATTATAGTTTTAGTATATTAAAAGATGAATATGAAGAGATCAGAGGAAAGCAATGTGGACATAAGTCAGAAAACTCATTTAATAGAGCAGGCCTTTATCCACAATATCTTTACCATATAAGGTGGTGAAAATTTGGTTTCTACTTGGAATCATGCATAGTATATTCCTCTGGTCCATGCACAATAGTCAAAGTTTACCTAGAAACGAGAAAGATGAAAATAAAACCCTGTGTCATGTCTGGTAGTTTTTATAGAATCAAAAAATGTTGAGCCTGACACAGGAAGACAGTGAGATAATATTCACTGTAGACCAGTGGTTGTCAACCTTCCTAATGCTTCAACCCTTTAATACAGTTCCTCATGTTGTGATGACACAAATCATAAAATTATTATTTTGTTGCCACTTCATAACTGTAATTTTGCTAGTGTTATGAATCATAATGTAAACATCTAATATGCCACCCCTGTGAAAGGGTTTTTTAACCCAAATGGGATCACAACCACAGGTTGAGGACCATTGCTCTAGACTATGTAAGCATCTTTAAACACTGGTCTTATAGTAGAAGTTTGAAAAATAGTCAACTGACCTTTGGATTTAAGAACAGAATTTCCTTATGAGAAAAAAAAAAAAAAAAAAAAAAAACAACCTTCTGTATAGACCATATGGAGATATGTTAATATATGAAAATTAAGTACGGTGAAAGACAACCAAGCAAAAAGCTATCAAGAGCCAATGCAATACCAAAGAATCAAGTGTGCAAATTCACAAATGAATGCATGGCAAAAAGAATAACAACAAAAATATAACTAATCAACTTAAAACATATAGGAACTAAGAGTCATAGCCCTGAGTAAGGAAGTCAACATGCAAATTGTATTTTTTTTAAAAATTGTGTGCACACTTTTGGTGGCCAGAAAAGGGTTTGGGATCTGTGGTGTGACACCAATTCTGAAGAGACATGAACAAATGTCTACTCACCCCAGATAGGAAACTGATGACAGACCAAAGTGAGGATATCATCAGAGTCTAACTTGATAAACCAATGTGTTTTATTGGATTACTTACAGGAATATATGTGAGCAAAAATGCCTAAAAGACCTTAGCATCACTAAAAGTCCATCCCTTACATGGATGATGGCTCAGAAAAGTTGGAAACCTGTAGCACACCACACATGGTACAGGCAGCTCATCAGTATCTTTTCTGGGCACCTATGAGCCTCTAAAAGGCATCCCTGCTGAACTAAGAATATCTTTCTGTGGTCTTTACTGTTTATATAATCTTGGAGAAGAAGGGGCCTATTGAATCTGGTCTGTTTCAGGAAGTTCCTGAGGCTTTAGAGTTGTTTATTTTAATGAGCTTCCCAGTGAGATGAAATGTTTCACCTCTTTTCAGAATATCCTGAGTCTTTTTTGGTTTGTTTGTTTTTCAAGACAGAGTTTCTCTGTAGCTTTGGAACCTGTCCTGGGACTCTCTCTGTCGAGCAGGCTGGCCTTGAACTCACAGAGATCTGCCTGTCTCTGCCTCTCAAATCCTGGGATTAAGGCATAAACCACCACCGCCTGGCCATCCTGGGTCTTAATGAGTTTCCTTCCGTCCAAGATGAAATGTTCTATCTCAGAGGAAATTGCTACACATCAGCATTCCCCTAAGTAACCTGATCTGGGCACTGGGAACCCAACTTGGGTCTTCTGGAAAAGCAGTAAGCACTCTTAACTACAGAGCCATCTATCCAGTACCTAAAGTGTTCTCTATGAGAACTAATGGACAAAAAGAATTTTAGGGAATTCTCAGAAAATCAGTTATTAGAAAATCTTTGAAGTGTGATTTTTTTTTTGAAAATACAAACTGCAGAACACAATATGTTTCATTATGAAATTTTGATACATGCATACTACAGACGTGGATACAAATGTTTGGTGTTCTTTCAGTAAATATATACACATCCACTTAGATGCAAAAAAAAACTTTTCAATTGGTCTCTCAAGCATGCAAAAGAGGTC